ACTGGTTGGTGTGCCAAACAAAGATGATGCATTCAAAACCCATCCAATGAATTTCCTGAATGAGAGGACTCTTAAGGGTTCCTTCTACGGTAACTACAAGCCCCGCACCGATCTACCAGGTGTTGTGGAGAAGTACATGAACAAGGTAGTTCGTATTTCCCTTTCTATTTCCGAAACCACACAATAATGCGGTAAGACTCGCCTTGTGTTGATCTTTGCAGGAGCTGGAACTGGATAAATTTATCACTCACTCGGTCTCGTTCGCCGACATCAACAAAGCATTCGACTTAATGCTTTCTGGACAGTCCATCCGGTGCGTCATCCGCATGGGGAATTAAGAGAAAAAACTAGTGACTTGTTATATGTTAATGGAGGGAACTTGTGTATGTTGGAATATAATAGTATTTTAGGTATTATATTGTTTGGGTTTTCTTATAAGTTTAGTTTGGGCCTAACCTGTCAGCATTAGAGTTAGGGTTAGTTTATTATAAATAGAGTGTTTTGTTATTCATTAGAGACTAAGTCAGTCACAATGTAGCTTTTAGGGTTTTGTAGTCGTTTCGGCATTCTCGTTTGTTTAATAAAATTCATATTTTGTTAATAGAGTTAGGGTTAGTTTATTATAAATAGAGTGTTTTGTTATTCATTAGAGACTAAGTCAGTCACAATGTAGCTTTTAGGGTTTTGTAGTCGTTTCGGCATTCTCGTTTGTTTAATAAAATTCTTATTTTGTTAATCTTGTTCATGGCGCACTCTGATATTCAACTTGGTATCAGAGCAGGTTGATTCTTCGGGATTGGATATGTTCTTGGTAGCTAGCTTGTTTTTTTTTTTTTTAGTTTGCTCGGTATTAGTTTTGATAAGGTTTAGTTTTAGAAAAAGGTTTGCTTCTGTTTGCCCCAGCCTGCTAGTAACATCAGTGCCACTCGACCCGCACCAGCCTGTCCACTACCAGATCGACCCACCTCTGAACTACACCACTGCACCACCATCTCACATTAGACCACCAGCCACCGGTCTGCCACCGTTCTGTCCAACACCTCAAACCAGTCTCGCCACCTGCTTGAATCTCCCGCGCCAACCCATCACCCAAATCCGACTGACCCAGGATTGCATGCCCGCTGCTCCGTCGCCATCCTTGCTGCACCGCTTCTGTCCCGCATCACTGCAATCGGTTCTCGTCGCCGCTGTCCACCATCACCTGTTGTCAAACTCGCCCTGAACTTTGCCATGTTTCGTTTCGGCACCAACTAGTCCCACAGTCGACTCCCATGAGTCGGATTTGTCGAACCACTGCAACCCTGCCGGTGCTAGTTTGAAAACCTTATTCTTGCTGTTTTTGTTTTTCCGACGATTGTACTAGAGTTCCAATGCAGTCAGATGATTGTTGCACTAGTTTGCAGATGCACAGAAAAGAAGGGAAGAAGATTTTGGAAAAAAAAAAAGGATAAAAAGACGTGGTGTTTGAAGAAAAAAGAATGAGGAAAAAAAAGAGAGAAAAATAAAATAGAAAAGAAAGGAAAAAAAAACGTTGGTTTTTTGTTTGAGGCCCACACGGGCAAAAGAAAAAAAATATGGTTTAAGTTTGTTTTAGGTCTGCATTTGTTGGTTGGCCTATTTGGAATTATTTTGTGACCGTCACTTGAGTGTTTGGATCTGTGATCACTCGAGTGGTAGTATTTTTTTTTAGTTCATTGCTACAATTGAGATATGAAAATCTCGTCCGTTTAGTGACAGGTTCTTTCCATACTCTCAACATTAGCCAGTTTGAACCAAAACCAGTTTGCCAGCCTGAATCAAGAATCATGTCAAGTCAAGTTAAGAATCAAGAATCAAGAACCAGTTTTCCAGTTTGCCAGTTTGCTAGTCAAGTCAAGTCAAGTTTACCAGTCAAGTCAAGTTAAGTTTGCATGTCTACCAATCCATCTAACGGAGCTAGTTCGCATCTGCTTGTTTGCAAACTCATGTCGTATACCGCCATGAGTTTGACGGGGGGTGTTGGAATATATTAGTATTTTAGGTATTATATTGTTTGGGTTTTCTTATAAGTTTAGTTTGGGCCTAACCTGTTAGCATTAGGATTAAGGTTAGTTTATTATAAATAGAGTGTTTTGTTATTCATTAGAGAATAAGTCAGTCACAATGTAGCTTTTAGGGTTTTGTAGCCGTTTCGGCATTCTTATTTGTTTAATAAAATTCTTATTTTGTTAGTATTGTTCATGGCGCACTCTAATATTCAGCTTGGTATCAGAGCAGGTTTGATTCTTCGGGATTGGATATGTTCTTGGTAGCTAGCTTGTTTTTTTTTTTTTTTAGTTTGCTCTGTATTAGTTTTGATAAGGTTTTGTTTTAGAAAAAGGTTTTCTTCTGTTTGCCCCAGCCTGCTAGTACCATCAGTGCTGCTCGACCCGCAGTAGCCTGTCCACTACCAGATCGACCTACCTTTGAACTACACCACTGCACACCATCTCACATCAAACCACCAGCCACCGTTCTGTCCAACGCCTTGAACCAATCTCGCCACCTACTTGAATCTCCCGCGCTAACCCATCACCCAGATTCGACTGACCCAGGATTGCATGCCCGCTGCTCCGTCGCCATCCTTGCTGCATCGCTTCTGTCCCGCATCACTGCAATCGGTTCTCGCCGCCACTGTCCATCATCACCCGTTGTCATACTAGCCTTGAACTTTGTCGTCTTTCGTTTCCGCACCGACTAGTCCTATAGTCGACTCCCATGAGTCGGATCTATTGAACCACTGCAACCCTGCCGGTGCTAGTTTGAAAACCTTATTCTTGCTGTTTTTGTTTTTCCGACGATTGTACTGGAGTTCCAATGCAGTCTGATGATTGTTGCACTAGTTTGTAGATGCACAAAAGAGAAGGGAAGAAGATTTTGAAAAAAATAAAAAAATAAAAAAAGGAAAAAAAGAGAGAAAAATAAAATAGAAAAGAAAGGAAAAAAAAACGTTGGTTTTTTGGTTTGAGATCCACACGAGCAAAAGAAAAAAAAATGGTTTAAGTTTGTTTTAGGCCTTCATGAATTGTTGGTTGGCCTATTTGGAATTGTTTTGTGACCATCACTCGAGTGTTTGGATCTATGACCACTTGAGTGGTAGTATTTTGTTTTCGTTCATTGCTACAATTGAGATATGGAAATCTCATCCGTTTAGTGATGGGTTATTTCCATACTCTCAAACTAGCCAGTTTGAACCAGAACCAGTTTGTCAGCCAAAATAAAAAATCATGTCAAGTCAAGTCAAGAATCAAGAATCAAGAACCAGTTTTCCAGTTTGTCAGTCAAGTCAAGTCAAGAATCAAGTCAAGTTAAGTTTGCATGTCTGCCAATCCGTCTAACGGAGCCAGTCCGCATCTGCATGTTTGCAAACTCATGTCGTATATCGCCATGAGTTTGACGAGGGATGTTGGAATATATTAGTATTTTAGGTATTATATTGTTTGGGTTTTCTTATAAGTTTAGTTTGGGCCTAGCCTGTCAGCATTAGGGTTAGGGTTAGTTTATTATAAATAGAGTGTTTTGTTATTCATTAGAGAATAAGCCAGTCATAATGTAGCTTTTAGGGTTTTGTAGCCGTTTCGGCATTCTCGTTTATTTAATAAAATTCTTATTTTGTTAGTCTTATTCATGGCGTACTCTGATATTCAACTATGTATCTATCTGCTGTTCATTAAAATAAGTATTTTTACATGGATTTTTTAGGGTATTGCAAATTTGGACAGGATATGGTTTGTGATTTTCCCTACCATTTTTCAATTTATAAACGTATTTTGCTTCATGTTTTTTCGTTCTCCCTACCAATCTATCATGCATCTATTCCCTGATTGAAAGATTTAGCGTAAATCGCTTTGTTTCTTTTTTGCATTAATTCTTAAGGAAAGTACAACAGTACACGAAAAAATCGAAGCCCGTATTTAACACAATACATCTTTTGTACACCCTCTCTCAAACTAGTTAAGATCATTCCGTCCTAGTTTCTAAAGAAGTACTGAGAAACCATTTTTTCTTGATTCCCCCGCACTAAATTCACTCTTGAGTCACTAACCCAAGAGATATCCTTGATACTGATCAAGCCTAACCAATAGGCCGTCCCACAATTAAGCCCAAGCCTCTATTTTCATTAGAGAGTGGTAATACTTCCATCCACTCACCACAATACCAATGCATGGAAAACCATCGATGCATGTGCAGTGATGCTCTCTTGATCTTGACCATCAGAACACAAAATAAAGGTTGAGATTTAACTAAATCTCTTAAATTTTATTTGGTTCAATTTTAACCGCTCACTTGTGAAAGATTTTTGTAGATGATTTGGATGGTTAGCGTTTTTATCTTCAATACTATTTCTTCGATTCAAACCTCCCCATAACTAAGTTGAGTTTTATCCCCATAACTAAGTTGCATAACGTTTTTATCTCAACAACCTCCCCCATAACTAAGTTGAGATTTATCCAAGCCCGAAGTAGCCACTGTCAAAACAATGAACGACGACTTGTGTTACCATGCAATACAATGGAGTAGGTCAACCAAAACAGTGGGGGAAAACCCTCAAACTCGAGCATTCCGAACAAAACTCACAAGGATGTTTAAGTCTAACATTAAGAGCCTCACTTAATTCTGCAACAGAAGAAAATTTGTTACCGAAAACCTGCGAGTCTCTTAAAGTAGAGGTGTAAAGATAGTGAAATTTTTCTTTATACCACCATTGCCTTCGATCACCTCCACGAGCTTCTCTCCGTCCGATGCTGCTGTCATTGTAGTGATTAATAAGTTGAGTTTTCTCACCAAAAAGATTTTTCATTTGACATTTCTTTCAGTGATGAAAAAGATGGGAATACGAAAACAATCATGTGTAATAATTAAATAATACAAAATTTTCAAACACTTTTCATTAGTTTTCCTATAATAAAACGAGCGGATGAAGCAAGACTTTTGCTGCAAGTTTTCAGAATTTTCCTTTATCATTCAAAACAGTAACGATATACTGAGGAGGGCTTTTCTCTAAGATGGGAAAACACAAATGCTTTCAGATTTAATAAATGTAATAGCTTCAAGCTTTCAGATGAGTTCTCTACTTTCTACAATGCTTATATTCTGGAACAAGAGAGAAACTTAGCATAAAACAACTGCTTTCAATGGATGGAGAACTTAAAAATACATTAAAACTAGGCCAACATAGACATTTAAGTTGAGCATAGAAATTTAAGTCCAACATAGACACTATCCCAAGTGCTTCCACATTGAACTGGATCAAGCCGATAAAAACTGGTTCGGTCAATTAAAGCAATGAATAATCAAGTACGCGCAATTGGCCTAGTATGCCTGCACGCTACCAAAAAAGCCTAGGTCAGAATCTCTCCACTTGTGGACCTGACAAACTTCAACATTTCCATAACAGGAGCCAACAAACACTTCCGAACTGGAACAGGACCTTACAACGGCCACAGACGAACATAATTTGCCAAAACGGAACTCTTTTCAATTGACCCTGCCGAATGGGAAACACTTGATTCTTTTTCTTTTTCTTTTTCTTTTAGTTTGGTTGTCTATGTATCACGTCAATCTTCTTCTCCTGACTTGGCTGTTAATACCTACGAATATAACCAATAAAGCATGTGAGATCAATTGAAAAAAATTTCTTTTCTTTGGGTAATTCTAAAGCAAAAGTCACAAAACAAGAAATAGCCTTAGTGGTACTTTAGTTTTCTCTGACCTTTCAGCAAGTCGGGGGCTACGTCATAGGACCAGGCGGGGTAGGCGGTCATTGTTCCGAAGGATGGCTGTTGAGAGGCTGTTGGTGGGTCACCGCCAAATGCTCCTTATTTCTCAAACTAAACCTAGCAGGAGTCCCAAAGTATCCAACGGCCCATTCGTTCAAACCGCTAAGTATTTCTACAGACAACCTATCACTAGCTATTCGTACATCCATAAATAGTGTGTATCTATGTCGGAGGGTCATGCAAGGTTGGTGGTCATTCGTCTGGTGAAGTGGGGAGGGAGCTAGAGTGGGATGCTGGGGCTGCTGAGGTGGGAAGGGTGCTGGAGGATGGTTGTTGGGTGACTGCGGGTGGGTCACCACCACACCCTCTTTGTCTCTCAAACTAAAGCTAGCAGGAGTCCCAAAATATTCAACAGCCCATTCGTTCAAACTGCTAAACATTTCTACAGACAACCTATCAATAGCTACTGGTACATCCATAAATAGTGTGTATCTAATTGTTGACTCAGCTGGGTACAGAGGATATGGATACATTCCACCAACCATTGACCCTATATTTATATCTCTATAATCTTTAATCCCCGGAATTTCTCCTAATTCTATATGACGCATAATATGATAACCATGTGTTACCATTACTAATTGGTTCAGGTCTTCTCCCGTTTCAACACTAATTTTTTGAGCCAAATTTAATCCTGAGTCTGCCGGATGAACAGTGATGCTCATATTCAAACTTGGAACCGAAACTAAAAATGAATTCCTGTAAAATATTATATGGTATTAAACAAATAAATCTCATAACTCAACATTATGTACAATTCTAAAGACATAAAACCTAACTCAACATTTATGTACAATTCTAAAGACTTACATTATTGTTGATCCGTTTTGTAGGGGAGTTAACAGATTGTACACCTGAGTTGGGACTCGGTGCCTTAACAAAACAAAAATAAAACTACATTATTAATCATGTATTTCTTATTACAGAACAAACTTTTCCTGAGACAAAAAACATACCCAGCCACCAGATGTTGTAGGTACGCATCCTCGGACGCCATCACAACAATAATGCACCAATGAAACACTAAAAAAATCCCATAATTTTATCATCAGACAGCAAGTACATACAAGAAAACACCAATGTCTCCCCTATTTAAAAATTTTGCTGAAAAGCAAAGATTTTTGCTGGGTTGAGTGCTCATCATTCACTTATGCTTGTAAAACCAACAAAAGGATAATTTTGCATTCTCCATAATTATACTTAATGCCAATATTCATAGCTAATATACTAAGTTACCACTAATTGATTGTTCAAAGCATCAATATCCCAATATGAATCTGAATTAATAGACGGTTCCCAAAACTCAGTACCTACAGCATCTGTGAGTCCACAACACTCTCAAATGTGTATATTTTTCAACATATCCAGGCAAACCCAAAATTCGAAACTAAATTTGTACCGAAAAACATTCAAAAGTTAATTACATTCACAAATTCAACCAAAATCAGCAAATATCGAGTACTACCTCAGATGGAATCCTGTTTTCGATACTGTTCTGCTGGTTTATGAACCCTTTAATGGCTACACAGATGCCATCCACAGTCTCCAGAGTCCAGAGTGAAAATATCGAACCTTTTACTTATTGGTGCAGACGAAAACTCTCTCCAGTCTTCGTGCCTGAAATTCAGCATAACAATTTACAATTAATTCCTTCAAAAACAGAATTATAAAAATAAGAGCTCAAAATAATCAAATTCCAAAAATTAACAATTACATTGAAAAACTTGAACCCTCACTCAGTCAGTCCTTGGTTGATACCCAAAAAATCAGAAGAAAGAAGACCCAAAAAATAATAAAAAATAAACAATTTTAAATTCAAATCCACCCAAAATACTTAACTTGGGCATTATCTCGGATCCAAAACTTCCTAAATAAAAACGTAACTTTTTAAATAACAAAACAACAAAAACTCTGCTTGCTTGATTTCGCATGCTGCAATCTCCTGCCCAGCCAGAAACAAAGGAACTAAATTCCAATTCAGTAGCAAGTGGTTCGCAGCGCAAGCTGAGTTAATCATTACACACGGCTGTTAATCATTGTTTCATCATTCAGCATTACACATGGTTGACAAGCAGCACAAGCTCAAAATCAAATTCGATGATTTCCCACACATATCAGTAATATCAAAAACAACATAAAAATCATCGAATTCTTTCTTCCCTAAATTTTTCCAAAATGAAAACGAAAACAATATTTGGAACATAAGATTTGGAATAAACGTCTAGAACCCAAATCCCTAAATCAAGAAAACCTTAATCTATGATTATACTTAATGCCAATATTCATAGCTAAAATACTAAGTTACCACTAATTGATTGTTCAAAGAATCAATATCCCAATATGAATCTGAATTAACAGACGGTACCCAAAACTCAGTACCTACAGCATTTGTGAGTCCCCCACACTCTCAAATGCATACATTTTTCAACATATCCAGGCAAACCCAAAATTTGAAACTAAATTTGTACCGAAAAACATTCAAAAGTCAATTACATTCACAATGTAAACCGAAATCAGTAAAGAAGAGCAATATTAGCAAATATCGAGTACTACCTCGGATGGAATCCCGTTTTCGATAGTGTTCTGCTCGTTTATGAACCCTTTAATGGCTACACAGATGCCATCCACAGTCTCCAGAGTCCAGAGTGAAAATATCGAATCTTTTACTTATTGGTGCAGACGAAAACTCTCTCCAGGCTTCGTGCCTGAAATTCAACATAACAATTTACAATTAATTCCTTCAAAAACAGAATTATAAAAATAAGAGCTCAAAATAATCAAATTACAAAAATTAACAATTACGTCGAAAAACTTGAACCATCCCTCAGTCAGTCCTTGGTTGATACCCAAAAAATCAGAAGCAAAAAGACCCCCAAAAAAAAAAAAAATACACGTTCCTAAATTTCTGTTGGGGTTTTATAAAAAATTTGGGAATCAAAATCAAATTCCAAGATAATCAGAGCATACAACTTTAATAGCATAAAAAGTTATGGAAATTAACCTACTTCAATTCCAATATAATCCAGAATACCAAACTCGCTTACCTTCAGTCAAGCGGGTTTTGGAAAACGTTGCGGAGACCGGTGGTGCAGGAAGATTCACACGTGTGTTGTGGCGCCCTTCGTCGGATTTGGGTGAAGCGGTGGTAGTAGTGGCGGTGGTCTGCGTGAACTGGTGAAGAAGCAAGCGGTGGTTTTGTCGTTCGGGGTGTTTGAAAGCGTTAAAAAGAGTTGAAAGAGGAAGTTCGCCGGGTGATGGCGAGGTGGGCGAGGTCGACGGTGGGAAGAAACGGCGTCGTGGTTTGGCGAAGGAGGAGAGAGAGGACTTTTAGAGAGAGAAGGCAGAATCTTTTAGAGAGAGAATGACAGAAGCAGAGAGGATTGAGCGAGAGGGTAGTGAAAGTAGGGAAAGGAAGGCAAGAAAATAAGGAAATCCGAGGGATAAAAAGCAGAATTAGACTAAATATGTGAGGGTAAAATCGGACGAAAATATTAAATTAAATTCTGTGAATTCTCTCCTTTATTTCAATTTCTCAATAAAACTTTTATATTATTTGTAGATTAGCCTCTTGCTACACGCATACGCTTGTGACAATTGGCCTTTTTATATTTATTTATTTAAATAATTAATTTAAATCTTTTAAATTTTTTTTTTTAAGAAATGAATTAATGACGTGAAACCACCCACTAATGTGGGAGGTTTTGTTTTTGTTTTTTTTTTTTCAATAATTTTAAATATTAAATTAATTCAAAATAAAAATATGGTTAAATACTTTTAACTTCTTTTGGTTCAATTGTAATTTATGAAATTCTTAAAAGACAATTTATGGTATTTTGAATGTTTCACCATTTTAGGGTGCTCACTTTATATATAAAGATGATATGTAGCACATGTGTGATCATGTAAATTTATAGATTAATTTATTGATCTTCTAATACCTCCTCATATTGTAGAAATAAATAACAAACAGCTAAGTAGCATTATAGTTAGAATTACTCATTGCAAGCGACATGTGTGCCTTCTTGAAAATGGGTTCAAATCTTGTGGCACGATGTATAGCAAGATGTGGTGGCATTTGTTCATTTGAGCAGCTTAATTTGATTGGAGCTGTTTAGTTTATGAACGGATTTTTGAGGTAGGTGTTCCAATCACCCTATTCTGGCTCTAGAAATCCATGATCCTACAATTTCTCCAAATAATGTATCTGAAAGGGTGTTTCGTTTGAGGATGGATAGTTGTCCAAAGAACATTCAAATGAGTAATATAGAAAAAATTTGTCAAGTGTTGTCCATATAACATGTCGAGATATATCTAGCATGCATTACATCAAACATTTAGTAGGCACAAAAAAAAAAACATGTACCAAACATTCGGAAGATCCTTGAAAGACCTTCACATGTATATTTTCCGAACTCGGTTGGTCCTGGGACCCATTTGGTCCCTATTTCCATCCGCCCCTGGAGAGGTCCCCTATAAATATCTCAGATTTTGCCTTTGTTTTCGTCTTTCTTTCAAAAACTTCTAAACCTTCCTTCAAGCTTTCGACTTCCTGATCTTCTTCTTCTTCATGTTTTCAACCAAGGAATGGCCTCTTCCAGCATTCTATTGTTAACTCCTTGGTGATGTGAAGGAATTGTAACACCTTCATCCACCATTGCTAAAATCTTTTGACTGATTGCAAGGTCCAGGTGGAAGTAAATCTTCCTTGGTGCCATTGCCAGGGTAGATATTTGATCAAGAGTATCCATGTACCAAAATTCACCTTTGGTACTTGGACTTTCATGATATCTCTTTGCTAACTCCTTGGTGAGGTGAAGGAGCTGTAGAAGTATTGAGTCACGGTCCCACACACCTTGAGTCACCTCATTCCAAAACTCCCTCAAACAAATCCTCATTCTTCTTATCGTCCTTCTCTTTGGGAAAGGAAACCTCGCAAAATTTAGACACTTATTTTGCAATAAAAATTTGGCGTTTTCTTAATTTGCATGTTTTTTACGATAGGTTTCACATGCACTACCATTTAATACGTGGTTTGCAGTTCAACTCTCTTATTTCCAGACTAAGGGTGTAAAATTCTGAATTCCGTAAACGAGCAATAAATTATTGAAGGTCGCAATTCCTTATGGTCTGCATTCGTAATCAGAAACCAAAATCAGAATGTTGATCGATGTTAGACAAATAAGAACACATGGCTATGTAGCATGCATTATGCTTTTAAAAAACCATGTTGAAACAGCAAGCAACAAAAGTGCCTGCCTGCCTGCCTTGTTGAATAGTAAAATAAAAACTATAAACTGGTTCGGTCAATCGTTCTAAAGAATTAAAGCAATGAATAATGAAGTATGTGTAATTGGCGTAGTATGCTTGCACGCTACCAAAAAAGGCTTGGTCAGAATGTCTCCACTTGTGAACCTGTCAAACTTCAACATTTCCAAAACAGGAGCAAACAAACACTCCCAATCTAGAATAGGACTGTACAACAACCACAAACAAACATAATTTGCCAAAACGGAACTCTCTTCAATTGACCCTGCCAAATAGGAAACACTTGTTTCTTTTTCTTTTCCTTTTAGTTTGGTTGTCTATGAACTCTCTTTTGTTGGCCCTGCCGCTTTTGTCTTTGTTGTTTGGTTGTCTGTAAATGTCGACAATGATGCAGTCAAGCAAAGTTTCAAGAAAGCCAAAGTTCGCAGGGATAAAAGGAAATATTAGGTGACATAAAGCCATCAATGAAAATGGAACACAAGAAATATCTAATGCCACTAATCAAATTGGTACACAAAAAATATTAAATGATATAGAGAAGCGAGTATAACTTAACCAAAGAGGCATACCACAACTACAACAAATATGAACACTGCACACAATAAATTATCTGTGCCCTTTGAGGTCAAAGTGCACCAACATACGTGCCCATAGACCAATAGCAACAATGCAGCAACTAAGTTTCTATATGTGCCCTCTATGGGCGTCACCTTTGCTAAAAGGGCACAATAAACTATTTGGTGCTCAAAGAGGCAAGCACAAATAAAGGCCTTTTTGTGTCTATGTTCTGACAAACTTGTCAGATGACCTTCTCCATCCATGTTTGCACTATTTTTGTTATTGTGCCCAGTACGTTCTATTTAAAAAAAAAAATAGACATGTAAAATTTTGAAATAAAACCAAAAATTTAAAATTTTCATAAGATCAAAGATGGTAGTCTCGGCTATAAAAAGCAATCTAATAGTAGAAATGGAATGTCTATAATGAAACTACATAAATATTCCTCATAAACATCATGTTTACAAGTGTTCAAGATAAAAGATCAACAAAATAATGAGATTTTCCTATCAATGTATCCATGCATTCCTACATATAGCCACTCATAACTGATTTTACCCTTTTTCCTAGCTCAGTGGATTATGCAATTACCTTCCTGAAATCCAAACCAAAGGAAAAATGAAAAAGGGAAAGGATCACATATTTCCAGTGAGGTTGAACTACCCAAACATCCAATCAACATTGAGAATTCATAGTATCCTGAAAATCGATTTAAAATAACCAAGTGTGATCAAAGCTCGTAACACCAGCATGCTTATGTTTTCAATCGCATTCTAACTGCCGCTTGAAATATTTCATGATTAACATATTGAAATCTAGTAGCTTGTTGTTACCAATGCGTAGAAAGGGTAGCTCACCTTAAGTTCGACTCCGGACTCTAGACGTGAGCGCACACCCACAACGGAGTGTTGAACGCTACATTCTCGCAAGAAGCAACCATGAGAAATAATTGCATCCATAATTTGCAAAATTCATTTGGCCATGAGATCAGAAAATTACAGCCAATGTCACACAGTAATTTAAGCTTGCAATCATACCCTGCATTTTTCAACTTTTGTAGGTGGCAAGTATCTAGGAAAGGTGTAGAAAGGTGTCTTTGGATCGTTGAATTCAAACTTCGGAGGCTGCATGAAAGAAAGAATGTAATCAATAACTGTTACCACATATGCACGTAAAGAAAAAAAAATCTAATCGAATAGCAGGAACGATTCAGTGCAACTATTACCAACCTGTTTTGTGAGGGCTGAGTTTGCATCGAAGAAAGACTTTACAGTTCCAATATCCTCCCAGTAGTCATTGAATAGATATGCCTGATCATGTAAGGGCGTTCCGTAACTTAGTGACTCAATTATCAAATCCAAACCAGCCTTGGGGGAATTGCTTATATATTTATATTCGAAGATGAACTATAAGAAAAACAATAACTATTATCGAAAGAGCTATCTCACCTGGACGTTGTGCTCCTTCACAGCTGATGGAATAATCTCGAAGCCAAAATCATTGCAAGAAGGATAGCTCCACCTTAATAGCTTAAGTAGGACATCAGTTCTGAACACATACACACCCATCGATGCAAATTTGTAGTCCTAAATCACAGTCAATTAGTAACGCACATGAAAATTTAGGGCATACAGATAATCAAGTTTGGGAGGAATCACGTGAGTCATAAAATTGAAATACACTGATGTTTTTTTTTTAATTATTTAGTGCAGGGAGCCGGTTTTATACCTACAACACAATCCCAATCTCATAAACATATATTGTAATATTACCCACTTAGCTAACATATACTACAATATTCGTTCATCAGATACACACTGATTATATAGTTATCAGAAGCCAAAACGGATATAGTTGAATTCAAAACACAATCAGTCCAAAATTACACCTAAATAGAGTTAATTAAAATCAATACCTACAAATTCCAGATCAGCCATATCAAAGATTCATATTCCTCACTCCGGGTTGTAAAATTAACTTTTAGGTATGAGATAACACATTAGTTCAGTTCATGACCTGAATCAATGAAATATGTAAGTATGCATATTATTTAGGGTCAAAGTGAGTTGCTTACTTTAATCACATACCTAGTATGCATCATCAATATACATGCAAATGGAAAGAAGAAAATGAGTCTAATTGTTGGAAAATTTTGAGAAATAGAGTATTCACAAATGTGCAACTAAACATGGCATTGACCTGCACATGAAATCTCACTAAAAGTCAACTGATTATTTCTAGTCAGGTTGTTTTTGTTTGTCCATGGTTCATCACTTTTAGCTTCCTAGAGATTTGGAAAGGATCATCAGTTCATCTAGACTATAAACCAATAGACTTTTGAATATATATCAAGAATAATGTCCCAGTATGCCTAAGTCCCAGTCTAAGCCAAAACTTCTTCTAAGAACAAAATTCTGGTATATTTGACATATAACAGCAAGCCAGCTTCAAAAAAGTTAAACTGTAATAGGCATCGCAGTAAAAATGGGTCTGTTTGAATCTGGACCAGATCAAATCCCTTTTTTATTATAACCCAAAAGAGAAAAAAGCTCAGTTCCCTTGTGTTTCAAGCGAACCCTA